GAACGAATACTACACTACATAATCGTTTTATTTAGTGTTGTATTTGTTCAGAAAGTTAACCACAGTACATATTAGAATCTATTGAAAAATAGCGATGGAATAATTTTGTTATAGGTAATAATTAAAATTATTTACTTCAATTTTGTCATAAAAATGATGTATAGAATATAAAGTTTGGATATTTCTAGAGTCTATTGTATCCACTGTTACATTTGTAATATGTGTGACCATTACCTTACTTCGTAACACTTGCTGTGTGCTACACTAAAAGGCTACAGGACAAAATGTAATTAATAATTAATAAGCGGGAACTGAGAAAGTTCGCCTAACACACAAGTTCCGTACTCGCTCGACGCGGCCCCGTCCTTTTCGGCGAAAAAACAAAACTCGAATATAACTGGCGTGTCGCTCTGTATGTAGTAACGAGCTAATTTAAACTTTTGGGTACCCCACTCCTTTGGGGTGGTAGGGGGCTACATCGTCACCTGAGGCGTTGGACTATCCCTGCGACTAGACGATGTTTTTCAATAAACCAGAAATAAAATACAGTTACGGCGGATCCATTCTTTTCCTGTTATTGAAATTTTCTATGACATTTTTCCAGCATGTTCCAAAATGGAATTTGCATTTCAAATAACATTACATTTAATTTTTGTTTAGATACATATTAAACGATTACGGTCTGTAATTCTTGTAGCCTAACACCGCGTCTATATACTCTTACGAGTAATTTACCATTTTTCAAATGATAAGAAGTTAGGTACTAGTAACTTGTATATTCACAATGTAAACTTAAGTACGTCATGTTTGTAAAATTCACAGTCTACATGGACGGCATGATTGTAAGTTATAATTATGTTTTGATGATTTAATTATAAAATATATCAGATAACATCAATCACTTGATTAGGTACTCTGACTGGAATTCCCTGCGTTTTTGATAAATATGTGAATAAGTAAAAACAGATAGGTATTTCGGGAAAGTTTAAATCGCAATGATAATCGACATCTACATTTACACAGGAACTCAAAACGATCAATATCCTCGATAAAAATCCTACTACTTTTTAATATTACAGAAGAAAATAAATTTATTTAAATAATATATTACTTGTAAATAGTAATTGTGTTAAAATAAAGACACAAAGTACATTACGCATCATTAAATTTATTAAAATTAAATAGAGATGATGTGAAAGTTGGAACGATTACCTAAACGTCCATGAATTCATATTTTTCTTTTTATATAAATATATTTAACATAATATACGAAAGTAAACCAACATTTAAATAAACATGTATTCATTTTTAAAATAAACTGTAAAAAGTACAAGTGACAGTACTGCAGTTGTCGTTAAAGTAATAAACACGTCACACCAGCCGTTCAATACACGCAATAAATCACTTCACACAATTATGGAAACAGATTTAAAGTGTGGGTGTAAATTTTGACCACGCGCATGTGTGGGCTGACCACTGTCCGTTGGGGCGGTGGGTGTGTCCAGCTTGACCCCAATGGACACGAAATTCCCGTTTCCACGTAAATGAAAACCGATAGGGTTCGATTACGTTTAGGTAACTCGTTCCACTAGTTTCTTCCCCATTGGACGCACGATTACGGTGAAGTGAAAAGGAAGGTTATCTTTTTGACTTGGGTTTTGGTATTTATGTTCATATGTAATTACCATTTATCTTTTTTATCTTTTGCCTCTGGCGATAGTTCATAGTTTTTTATTTAGATAGCGTTAATATGTATACTCATTATTGTTTATGGTTTTGTTTTGTAAGAGAAGGTTATTAATTGTAATGTTTTTTTTTCGATATCTTGGTTAATAGTTTTTTTTTAATTATAATTTAACCGTAAATATTGACACCAAACTGATCTCTTACTGATTTTGTCAAGTTTAAGGAATTGATTAAAACCAATTCGTCTGATTACCCCAACTTTGGGCACAAGCGTAGATACAGATATTATAACTTTCAAAGGTATACACAGCTGTTTATTTTTTTATATGAATGTTCTTTTCACCAGAAGATTTGTTCGAGAATTATTTATTGTAGACTAAAACTTGCCTTTTCATTTCTTTTATTATTAGATTTATTTGATATCTAAATAATGCCTTAAGGCTACGTAATAAAGATCAAAATAAAACAAATCATTATTTATAACTTACTTAATTATTCGAGGTGTGAAACAAATTGCCGCCCAATTTATTAAGGGGAATACACACACGGAAGTAAATAACACACAATTAAAACATCCGAGAGGAAGCAAGAAAAAAATGGAAGCATTTGCCACGAGCGGCGGCGTACGAATCACGAAAAAATCACCATCAATAACATTTACATAAGGAACCCTCTATACAAACTAGGTAGAGCCAACAAAGCGGTCGAATCACGCGCTTTTTTCGCTGTATTAATTTAGTACTCGTGTTACAAGAAGGTGCCCCTGTAAGTACGGCATTTACAATGAAATTGAAGGAAAAATAATAATAAAAGGAATGCAAGGGCGTCTACGGTACTTATGTGAAATTAGCCCGGCTTTGATGTGCCGACCAATTGAATGCTCGATGTGAGAGTGGCTTTATTATTTCAAACGACTGACTAACTTATATAGATTATTTTTATATAAACAAAGGTTTTCAGGTACTTTCTTCTATCATAATAATAATATACCTGGCATCCAGTACCAAGCTAAGAGCAAGTGTTATGGGCTAGACATCTGGTATAATTACATAGATACAATTTTTGTTGTTTGTTTTTAAATAGTAATAATATACAGTATATAAAATACAATAATAATAATTTATTTATTTTCTTGCATGGTACAATTTCGGATGAACTGATAAAAATGCATGACATACAAACAATCATACTCATGAATACAAATGTTTGTATCGAGGAATCGATCCCGCGACCATCGAAAGTAACATGCTTATGCTAAACTACTAAACCATCGAGGCCGTCCTATGGCAATTCTAAAAGTAGCTAGTATATGTACAATTCCTAAAATTATTCAGAAGGTATTGAAGTAGATAAAGTTCCGGGCAAAAGTCTATTACTTATTATTATTACAGAAAGTACCTGAGTACTTTATCCAACAGATAAACCATTACGTGATGATATTAACACAAGATCAAGTGATAATCAGTTTTAAGATCACGATTTTTTAATCAAATATGTTTATGTTATCTGTTAGATAAGCAATGAATGATATATTTAGGATATGGTCAATAGTTCGGTGAATTGTTCTAGTATGTCAAGTCAGTATATATCTGTATACTATATTTATTAGTTAGAGGGTAGATAGGAAAAAGAAGGATTGCTATAGTCTTCTATTCCTAAGACAATTCTTGTTTTAGTCAATTTTATTACATATATTCATTAAATAGGTCTATCTGACAATTACAGAATGTTCTAGGCCTCTTCCAGTACTAGCTTCTTTCTACTTTCTCACTATGTATATTATTTAATTAAACTTCTGTCTAAATATTCTAAAATACATGTATTCATAATCTTAGTTAGGAATATTTTTTATATTATATAAAACATAGTCAAATAGGCTTTCTTTTCACCCACACTCATTTTACTATGAGTCTATATATAAAATCTTACTAAGATCCGTTCAGCGATTTAGTCATTAATAGATAACAAACAAACAGACACACACACACAAAATCGCATTTATAATAATTAGCATGAAAGATAGTATGGATTATATCATTGATGGCAATCGAAATAATTTGTTACATTTACGCTAATCCTTATTGATATAAGTCTTTGTATTTAACTTTTTTTTTGTTGTAAAATAACTTATTGTAGAGCCGTTTGCGACCACGTCCAAATGATTGTAAAACATATCATTATATTTTACATTTAAAATCCACACAAAAAAACATTTAAGCCCATTGCAACAAAAATACAAAACCCTTTTTAAATTGTAAACCACAAGACAATTACTCCCCTTAAGCAGAGAATACTGCCATGCAATTTGCAACCTCACTCTCTTAAATTTTAAAGCACATATTAATATAACAGATAATGAGGTCCTTCGAGATAAATGGTCAGCAACTGACACCTTATTTTTGAAGACCGTGACTTCGGTAACATATAATTATATGTAATTTTACACTTATAAAGCCGAGAAAGTGTCATTGGCCATATGTTGTGTGCTCAATGTTACTAAACATTTCAATAATTGCCCCTGTATTATGGTCCTTGCAATATTTTGTACAGAATTGTGGTCACAATGACTTACTTGCATCGCTGGGCAATAAAAACAATAACCGCAAATTATAATTATTTATTTCGGATTCGCCCACGTTTACGTCTTCGGGGTTTTCCCCGAGTTTCAGACTCTAATCTAGTATTAGAATTAATTCTGATAATCATTACAATTGTAAACTTACGACATATTGGTTTCGTATTACGAGATTATTAAATAAATTGTATAGAAGTTTATTCGACACTCTTGAAGTCTTAACTGTATTTCAAGAATTAGTTCGAGTCGCAACTGAATGGGCTTGAAATTATATTTTTAAAGTTGTTTTTGATCTGTTAAAATCAGTATTATTTCTTTATACTATATTATTAAGAGAGGTAAACTAGTAAAAAGTCATCTGCGTGGGTACCAGTCTCATCTATTTCAACTGCAAGCAGCTTGCTTAGTAAGGAAATTATAAGATTTTTTAAAAGATAATTAGAAGGAAGACTTTCTAGAGGACCAAGATGTCATGCCTCTACATGACATCTTGGTCCTCTAGAAAGTCAACCCATAAGTGGCTTTAGGGATATCATATACTAACGTGAAATCCGTAGTACTGTTCATGAATATAGGCGACGGTTAGCGCTTACCATTAGGTGAACCATTATCGTATTTGCTATTATAATTACATTAAAAAATCGTATTAATTCCCATGTAGTTAAAATTGAAATTAATTTAAGTACGGATATAAATAAAGGAAGCAATGAAGTATTAAATATTATTTCATTTGTTATAGCGGATGCGGACAGCGCGGCAGAGGGCGGTGGGTCTCCTACTCCTGGAGTACCAGCCGATACCCTCACATGTGGGGCTTGCAGACGAGCCTTCGCCCTCGCAGACATTGTGCGATTCATTCAGCACAAAGTCTCTTCCTGTGATAAAGATCTCACCTCTTATCATTGCTACAGTGCTGGTAAGTGATTAGTTGTTTTATATTTCATTCAACATCATCTGTAAGGACACTTGGAATTAAAGGCATTGGAAAGTTGCTTATTATTTTTAAAGTACACACACACACACACACACACACATATTACAGTTTTTAAAGTGTTATAATAGACAAAGACATGTTACAATAGACAAATTACAATTAGTTAACAGTCCATTTAGCATAAATTTGAGTCAAGCCTGTCTAATAAAGTTAATATCTTATAGTGAAACAAACATATTAGCTGTAAAATCTTTAAAAGATTTTATTTACTAACATAAAAATTACTTCTTAGGTCCCAACTCTGACCAGGAAGATGGGTCAAGACCTGGTCAGGTTTCAACTGGCAGTGCTGGCAGGAGACCCTCACTTTTGACTGCAAGAAGACCACCGAGCAGTAGGGTGCATACTCCTCCACTGGCCAGCCCATCGATAGCACCCCCAGATCTTTTAGAAGATGGTGGCGCTTCGAGTACTCCTAAACGATTATTGGACGGTCAGTTCATCAATAACATATTAATATCTTTAATCATTCTCTATTAGTTATTGAACTGTTTAACCCTTTTCATCAAACAAGTATCTTTTTAAAAATAATGTATTCCGTTTTTGCAATAAAATATTCTTATAATTTAAATTTGTAACAATTTTGTTTCCAGATAAAGTGCTCAAGTATTTAATGCAACTATTTACATAATATATGACTCAGATGGTGTTGATGAGTCAGATCATGATGATCTATATAAGAGGTTAAGAAGTCTATATAAGACCATCATTCATAACAATGGAAAATTCCTTCATTGTTTTTGAAAATTAATAGATAATGTAGAACATTACGAGACATCAGTAATAAGCAATCTTAATTACTACATAGAAAAACTTTTCTTCCTTCTTAAAATAACCTAAAAATAATAATACTTATAACATATGTTACGCCATTAGTCATAAACCTTATAAATTTCCACATACAGAACCGGATGTTGAAACTTCAACACCTAAAAGAAGAGCATCAACATCACCGATGCCATCTAGCTCGCCTGATGAAGATATCAAGCCCAAAATCAAACAAGAACACATGGACACCACCGGGTCACCTGAGGACCAAAAGAAATCAAGAACCGAAGTAGCTGATGCTGAATCTAATACAATGCATAGTGGTGAGTTGATTTAAACTTAATCTTTATATTTAATTTCACCATTTAATATAAATATATCTCATTCATTCATAATTTAAGAGCTACGCTCTTGACGGTGGAGCTCTTGCAACTTTCCGCGATCTTCCATCATGCTCTTTAATTCTTGTATATTCAAATATATCTATACTCAGAAAATAATTTGTCTCGACTAACTATCAAGGCATATCCATGTAAGAAAACTGAAATATGGATCGAACGTTTATTTTGCAACAAGTTTGGAAATAATTTTTAAGACTCTGATTATAGGTATAACTGTGCTCCTACATTTTTTGTCTTTAGGACTGTTTGTTCAAACCAAACCATACTTATTTAGCTATAAACATAGTTAGTCTACATAAGATCTGATTGTAAAATATAATGTCCCATTATATTTTGCCCAACTAGACATGCAACATTTAATATTTTAGAATTAATTAGTGCAATATGTTAAGTCGCATAAATTTATTATTTGCATATGTAATTAATATCTTTTAAATAAATTCAACATAATACATTACATATTCTTTCCGTACTTCACACATGCAGGCCATTTTCTATATTTAGATTGTCAAGTGAAGAATTTGATACTTTAATCAACATTTGTCATTTCATAATCGGCTCGCTATAAAATGCATATATTGAAAAAACTACCGAACACTGACTGACTTTCTTTAACTGATAATGACGGATAAATACCCTAAAAAAATCCATACGCATTATATATCTTGTATCATTCATATATTTTACACTCATCATGTGTACGATTAGGAGCGGAAAAGCCACGTGCAACTGACAAATTCCTTTTTATTTCTACATACCACGTCATCGCCTTTTCACGGTCCAGCGTTTAGTTATTATTAATGATTCCTACAATTGGGTGACGTAAAAGGATTCTAGAGACAATTTTATCTACACATATTGGCGCCTTTGTCTGGTGTGCATGTTGCACAACTACAATACTGGACCCAAAGAATGCAGAGTCATCTCGATTCCATACATTCGAGATTGACTTAATCTCATTTCTGAACGAGCACACACGGTGTTTCGGGTTGAAAGAATGATACGACAATGTAATTTATAAAATTGAGGAGGAAAATATAACTCGTTTCTCGGTAGTGCTCATCTTTGCTTTTAGTGTCAAATAGCGTAAATTTAAATGTTATACATCATAGATAAAGTAATTCTCTTTGATTTTAAACAATTACTGAAAATGGAAAAATTTAAGGAGTTTCTACAGTAAGGTTATATAATAAGTATATAAGACTATCCATTGAAAAAATATAACTATAATGCATTCATAATTGACCAAAATATTGTAGCATAATCAAACATAAAAAAAAACGCAAAACAACCTATAAAAACATTAAAGTTTCAACTAAACAGTCTCTTCTTAAAAATAACGGGGGTTGTTATTCAAAGTAGACAATCGTAAGAATCATCCACTAATCCTTTAACCATTTAACAAAATTAAATACAAAAAGGAGCCCGAGCATCTGTATGAGCGCAATCTCGCGGGGGTGGTTCGAAAAATAATCTATCCGTGAACGTAACCCTTTGTGCCGGCAGATGTGCCGTCATTTGACACTTTTGTATTAAACCGTTGCACAACAAAAGCTTTCTTACCGAAAATGCGCTCACTTCGTAAATTCCTACCCGCATTTTGTCAACGCTTTGTGGAGCTAGAAATATGATCGTAAAATGCCTTTAACTAGACTAGCGTTAATTCTTTTACATCGACATACTCGGTGTCCCTCCCATATGAGTACGCTTATGTATATACAAAGTTTATATTACATATTAACATTTACTTCGCAAAAGTACAATAGCAAAATATAATTTAATTAGTTACATAAAGTTCTATACAATATATTACGATTAAAATTACTTAAAATACAGTAATAAAATTAAGTACCTCTAAACAAAAGTTCTATTAGATTCTAATATTCCTATTACGCATACACAAGTTACGTGCTACGTTGTATAAATATTAGTAAATACCATTTGTATTTCATACAAATGTCAATTGCAGGTTTGCTCCAACACCAGTTGTTTCGGCTTATTGAGTTTATCCTAACCGTTCATATTAACCCCTTCGAGTGAGCTGTCATACCAGCTATATTCAATAACGCAAGGGATCCGGGCCACTACAATAAAAATATCACCATTTATTAAATTGATATACAGAAACAAAAGAACCTATACCATAAATCCACTGAACTTTTAAACCACATTCATATACGATAGTTCATTGTCAAAACAAGGCCATAATTCTAATGGTGACAGTAAGTCGCGACCTCGTGCCAACTTAAAAAAGGGATCTTAATTTTAATTGTATTATTTTGTACATATTAATTAACCCCATCGCTATATGAACAGATAAAGGGGATGTTTTGGATGAAAAAAATTATTTGCATGAGCACACGATTGACGTACGCGCATTGTTATCATTCGCCTTTTGTGATGACCCCTGTGTTAACCATGACTACGCAACCGACAAAAGAGCTAAGATCTTCTGTAACACTTAAACGAAATTCGGCTTTCGAATCATTCGTTTAAAGTTCAACTTAGAAAGATAGCTCAATGTCGCTAATGGTTTTCCGTGAACAACAGAATGATATTATAATTGTCAAAGATGCTACCGAGGCCCCATTGTTAGAAGCGGCCTTTTATAAATTTTTCAAAGATAAAAAATGTTTGGCGTGTTCCTGACACGTGGTACATGCTCATGGGTTCACCGTGACCTATGGAACTTCTTTGAGCATGACACAATGGTCGTGGATATTTTTAGTTTTTGTACAAACGGGAAGGTGGCTAAGTGGCTGCTTTTAAATAAGTGGGTTTTAATTTTAGATGTGACGTCGTGGTTTTGTGTGAAAGGTGAGGGGAACATTGTCTCGTGTCTATCGCGTGTCTTTTGACTAAGTCGTAAACTATATTTAGGTATTCGGAACCAATATCCAAGTTGTAGGTGCTTTAGCTCTGAAATATTTTTATGGACATACGTTACTTTCCATATTTATATTATTTCGTTTCGGTGTCATTAACATTTCAACAATGAGCCTATTGAATACGTGGATACTGTGTCCACAAGGTGTTGCTACAGTCATTAACATCACAAAACGCTGGAAACCGATGGCCGTCACTTATTTGTATCAAAACAAATATTGGATCAAGTGTGCATTGGGTCCAGTATTTGGTCTCTTTTGTTTGGCTTACAAATTAATGAAGGATTGTCGGGCTGGTTATGGTGTTTCATATTCAAATTATTTGGACCGTCGTGTTAAATATTTGTTGGGAAATAGATTTACAACTCGGTTTTATATCATTCTCCATTTCAATTTCAACAACAAATACATCGCCTTACATTACATGAATTGATCGAAATAATAGCTTTAATAATGTGAGATCAACGGTTGTGGTTTTGGTCAGTGATATCGATTTTGTGATCCCCTCGTGCAGTGAGCATGTCCGATGATAAAATTATCCTCTCAAACTTGAACGTGCATGGTCTACCGCATCGCAAACGGTTCGGTCAGATGTGTTCGGGTTGCGACACGCTTTTTATTTGCTCACTCGCGCAAACTGAACAACAAAAAAGGTCCGACCTGCGTACATTTTAGAAATCCCTAACCTTTGCCAGCTAATTACGCATTCATGAACCGTTTCCTTGATAAACGATTGCCCACACAAATGATTTCTCGATTAAGTCCAAGATATTTCCATATCAAGACATGTTTTCTTAAGGGTCGCCACAAAAGGGCCATCTTGCCGCCCAATCTTTAATCCTATCTCGGGACCTTTGCGGGCAAATTTAAATTTCTTTAGAAATATCGTCCTTATTATATACGTGCGGGTTTCTATTCCTTGTGACGTTCGTGGGTGAGATAACATAAGTTAAGTCCGAGAGGAGATTGTTGTGAAAAAACTACCGCTAACTTTGACGAGATCCCATCTGCTGCAACGCGTACATACAAATTTCATCTTTAAATCTTTGCGCATAACATTTCATATCGTTCGATGTCGACGGGATTAGTACAACCTTATTTTGTATATGAGGTGATAAGTCTTTATGAGGGGTCAACCTTTTCTATAGTGAACCTCACCCTTTTAGTGAAAAGAGTCCGTTGATAGCTGATTTAGGAATGGTGATAATGCATTCAGTGTCTGTAAATATATCATAGATTTACTGTGATAGATTGCCTTCCTTTTTGCCAGTCCATTGCCAGTCCTTTGCTTTTGAGTGGATGACTATATTTTTTATACTTGTGAATTTGCAATACATTCGTACAATTGAATTGTAAAGAACATTCTTTTATATTTCTTAGTATTTAATTATAATTTTATTGTGATAGTCTTTAGCATTACACCGTCTGGTATATAACCTTGGTTGTAAGTTCAAAAAGTATTTGACGTAGGTGTTTGTTTAATTTCCGATTTTTATAACTGCCAACACATGTAGTCGTACGAGTACATTATCAACACAATCTTAAATATTGTAAATGTTAAATACTAAAATATTTTTTTAAATCTTATATATTTTATTTATCTTCAGTATGACCGTTTGAAAATTAGCATATTTAAATTTATTTCCAATTCAATTTAGACTTTGACGTACGTTTTGAATATTTTTCGATAGTTTTGCTTATTTAATTCGTTTTAACAAACGGTGTAAATATGTACTAACAGTTTTTTTAAATAACCTTTAGTGTTTGTCAGCGACTTTAATCTGTTATATGTAATCACAATCATCATCATTATTAATGAAATCACAAATAAACTGACTGTTCACCAGAACACTCGCCTAATGAATAGTACCACGGACCTCATAAAATATTGTGATCCCCCTTACAATCCTGAAGACAGATATCACACTTTTGTACCCTATAATTTCTATACTATATCTCTAAACGCACTTACAAAGCAAGCTGCTGGACATGATGGACTGGCAAAAATAGGTGATAAAGAAGGATAATTCTTTATTG